TATATATATATATACATATATATACACATATATGTACATATGTATGTACATATATACATATATATACATGTATATATATACATATATATATATATGATAACAGCATGCCATAAAAATTGTTGCAAGAAAGATTTGGACCTTATCATTCTGTGGCATACTTTGGAAATGTATCGCGTTTGAATTCATCGCGAGTATAAGGAAGGAGGGTGGTGAGAATTGTCCGGGATCTAGAAGTTTAATTCCAAGTAAGCTGTGTAATCGTAGTGTTTTATGTTTATAAATGTGTTTTACTAGTACATTTCGAAGGGAAATTTTAGATTACATGCTTATTTCCAGGCGGAAAAACCAATAGCACCGGTGGCTGCATCTAAAGATGAAGAGTACTGGATTCATGTAGATGACGAACCACCGAAAGATGACGAGGAGTCCCCTTCGTTGTTTAATATTCCTCCGGAGATGTATCATTTTCTCGATTTGGCGAGTTTTTTCGAGCCAAAGGCAAGTGTTTAGACTAAATTTTGGAAATACTAGGATTACCAACCAGTTTGCGCCTGAAATGCAATATTAATATTGTCATACCAAGGCCGGACGCAACTTTGCGGAAATTCTTGATCTTGATCTACATGCCTCGATTTACTAATCGCCATCTGTTAGATGAATGTGCGCTATTTGTTCATTTGCCCGATCTGAGTTGTTTGCTTTCTCGTTACACGATATGCACCCGTTATCAGCAAGGCGATCAGCTTTTGCTCATTTAATATACTTCCTCATGTGATCACAACGAATCCCTGCATGCCTTTTATCTAAGAAGGACTCTAACTGCACATACAATTCAGCATTGAGGGACTGAAATGGTCAGCTACTGAAGCTTGGCTCGGCCGCGTAACATATGCAAAATGCACTCGTTTGTGAGTCAAAGGTGAATAAAAGCATATGTAAACCCAAGTGAGTGGGAATTGTCCTGTAGAAATCTATCATTAGTAAGGATTTTCCCTGGATCACAGGTTGGCAGCCGGCGACCCACAGGCCGTCTGGCCCGCGACCGGTTTTAATCTGGCCTGTGGAGGGGATCGGAATGTGGTACCTAACTAGATGATAGGGGGATTTGTATTCCGTCACGCCTCTACACTCCCATAAAAATAAAACTTAACCTGCACAAAGCTAATAGACGACACGTCAGTGATACAAATCTAGATTTTAGTAATCTTATATCAAAAGTTCGAGCCTAGAGCTAGCATTAATCTGCTATTGTTTACTTTTTTATGCGTTTTTGCTGTGCAGCGCTGTAGCGCTGCTACAGTGAGCAAAAACACATGTTGTCGAGAGGTCGTCCATGTGTGTATGTGTGTTCGGAAGCGACTGGACCCTGTCACTCACTTTCAGCTCGGTGATCAGGAAAGTTGGGAAGCTGAAACTCTGAGGAAATAATCCTACCCCGTTCCTCCCGTTTTAAAATCTTCGCGCATACGCGCCTGGACTTCGCGTACGGACCGCCAAAAAAAAAAAAGTGCACATTTCTTTAGCGAGAAACGAATTCGCAAACCAGGTAGGGTACAACGCTGAAATTTTGCAGGGATATCCTATATTCACGTGTGATTTTAATTCAGCTTGGAAATGAAATCCCCTGCAGTGGTTATAAGAATACTCAACTTTTCCGCAAATTCAGAAACGAGTGCATTTTGCAGCAAACAACCGCCCTCATCCTCTCTCAGCATCCAGTTCATTTACATATTTCGATTTTTTGGCGAACGATCACCCCAGCAACACTCCTACTTTCCAGCGAAGAACTGAAATTTTTGCATTTTCCATTTTTTCAAAAAGCGAGCATTTGCTGGTACAGGCTTCATGCCAAAAACTGATAATTGTGTACGCTGAAAATCCATGTGGCTCTGCAATTCAACACCTTCATCACTGCCGACGCTGTTTCCCTCAGTATGCAGAAAGAGGTCGAAATACAGCCAGTATGAGTCCAGGCAATAAACTGCAGCGTAGGGACCAGTCCTGCTGTTAGTGGTCTTCAAGTTCAGCACAAAAACGCATGGTCGCACCGGCATGTCTGGTGCTTCCCAGTCTGGGTTATACTAAATGAGTGACCTGATAAAAACTTATGCAAATGCAAAAACGGATAATATAAAGTGCATGTCTGTGTGTGTGTGTTTTTTTGAAACCGGGTGGACTTTTTTACCCATTTTCAACTCAGCAGCGGCGAGAACCATGACAACAACACTACCGTCTCGGTCGACGCCCTTTTCCTCCGCATGCAAGAAAAGACCAAAACACAGACACATGAGTTGCGCGTGTTAAATTGTAAAGCAACAACAACTGTTAACGATCTGGCTGCGTCAAATTTGGTGCAAAACGCATGGTTGGGCGGGCAAGCCTGCTGCTTTGTTACCTGGGTTTTATTAAAACGTGGCCCGCGAGTAAGTATGTAAATCAGGCCCACGTGTGGCCAAAGGTTGCCCATGCCTGTCCTAGATGAATCTGAAAACGAATAAGTTTGACTGGGTTTACACAAAAATTTCACTGTATTACCTTTGGCGATAAGAAAGAAAAGGGATGCTCATTTGTGACGGTCAGAATATGATGATGGTGAGGGGCAGTAAAATGCGGCATTTTATGAATGTAAATGATAAAAGTGTGGAATATTAACTGAACAAAAAAAAGAAGTAAACTGGGTGCATGGGAATGGAGTCAGGGTCCGCTTTTACAGGATTTAGAGGGAAAAAACAGACGTATAAGAGTTGTGCGCGTAATTACTAAAATTCGACTCGGCGTGGCCGGTGACATACACGATTTGCGAACGATTTTCCGGTTGTCTTTGTTTCGCTGCGGCACAGAATGCTGGATGCCGCTGATGGAGTAGTAGTGGAGAGGTTTTTATGTGCGAGTCCCAGGCACGGGGATTGAAGGTAGGAGAAGGGGTTGGTACGGTGGACTAGGTGTTACGTGGCATGGCCACGTAGGGGGAAGGGGGAGGGAGGTGATGGGTGGAAAGGAAGAGGAACCGTGCTGCTGGTTTTTGCAACGGATACGCGGGCAGGAAGGCATACGCTGCAGAGATTTAGGAGGTGGGGGGGGGGGGGG